ATCCAAAATGTGCTATGGGACCTGCTCAAATGAGCAGTTAATGAGGCAACATATGAAAAATAAAATAATTTTTTTATAGAGAGTGGCTGTCTATAGGACGCCTGGATGCCCATCTACCTAAAAACGTGATACCAAGTTGATGCAAGTTTTTTACTGTTTGGTCACCCAACCCAATTGTCAATGCAAGTTCAGAGATGCCCATAATTGTGTTGTTTTAGCAACCTATTAGCCTATGAAATACAGTCTTGAAAGCTTCGAAATTTTTTTTTTTTTTGCAACCTTGGTGTACTTGCAAAGAAACTTGCAAGTCCATTAATGGCCACCCAGTGCAAGTCTCCACGCAAGTTCAATTTGCAAATACTTGCAAGTCTGTTTGGCCAGGGCTTAACAGGCATGGCAATTACAGAGTTTGGTGTCAACTTTAGTTGGTAAGGGGCTCACATACAGTATAACTGCAATTTAAGTGTCTGTTTTAGAATGGTTTGAGGTGATTGGATGGTATGAGGAGTCAAATTATAATTACATGTAGCTAGAGCCATTACCCAAATTGGTTTCCTTTTAGGGCTTTAGCTCCTTTCCAGCAAGCGTCCTTGCTGCTTTTTAACATGGTGAATGGATGGTACAAGGAGTCAAATTATAATTACATGTAGCTCAAGCCATTACCCAAATTGGTTTCCTTTTAGGAGTTTAGCTCCTTTCCTAGCAAGCGTCCTTGCTGCTTTTTAACATGGGAGTTCTAATCTCCTTCCAACATCACCAGAAAAAGTTTTGGGGGAGCAGCTTGGATGGTGCAGTGTTGAGAGCGCTCACCTTCCACCAATGTGGCCCGGGTTTGATTCCGGCCTGGTGTCATATGTGGGTCGAGTTTGTTGTTGGTTCTTGCCTTGCTCCATGGGTTTTTCTCCGGGTTCTCCAGTTTTTCTCCCTCCACAGAAACCAACACTCCAAATTCCAATTCAACCAGGATAGTTATAGCAGACCCGCATGAAAACCAGCTGCTAAAGCTGATGTGGCTTCCTCTCTAAATATAGTAAGTTATGAAACTTTTTTTTAGGGTTATCTTTCGTTTAGAAAGTCTGTAAATTTCCTGAAAATTATTTTTAATCAACATATTGCAAAAGTTGCTTTTAACTACAGTAATCTTGCTATTCCCTTGTCAGACATTTTTCATTTCTGTATTTTTTAATTATTAAATAATAATTGTCAGTGGTTATTTGATATTTATTTAGGGTCAATGAAAGCATGTACCATGCTCTTGGTTATAGCACCATCTCGTATCTTCAAGCTATGATGACATTTGAACCAGTACGTATCTACAGATTGTAAAATAAGTGATAATATTTAAGAATCCATCTTCGATATAATTAGCGGTAGTAGGTAGAGTTCCTTGAGCTAACCAGTTACAAATAATGACAGTGAGGACACTTGAATGGTGAACACTTGACCCTTTTTGTACATTGTTTTTAGTGACCATAGAATGAGGAATTTTCATTTAAACCAGTCGAGTATTTAGTGTTTTTACATTGTTAAAATGGCAATATTATACATTATATGGAGAGCCTTCATTCTTTACAGTATATTCCAAATTTTTCTTGAATTGTTATTTTTTCTTACCTATCTATTGGGGGAGATGTATAGATGCATGTGTCTGTTAGGTAATAATTCACAGAAGACATCATAATGTGACAAGAACATCTGTGACACACTTGGCTATTGCCTTGCTTGTCATTTTAATTTTTTCTTACCACATTTTGACAGCATCTAGGATCTACTACTGAACAGACATATAGCAACATGAAATCCATTTTTAAATATATGTAATCATCAACAAAAATTTTAAAAAATGTCAAGTGTTTATGGTTGAAGTGTCATTACTGTAAGAAGGATGTTTGTTATGCACTCCGCTGTGCACTGTAGTCACAAGGAAAAATTATTAATCACATGCTCTCTGAAGCTCTCATTTTTTGTGGGAAGAGATAAGAAATGTATTTATTTGAATTACTACTGATGATTGAAATTTAATATCATGATACATTAAATAGAAATATTAATTTTATTGAAACAATCTCTTTCACTTTTTACTTATTTCCTTCAGCAAGCAATTCAGCATGCAAGCAACAGCAACAAAATTGCTTTGGATGTTTGTGAAAGGTAATCTGCTGTATTTTACCTTTAATATTAAATAAATATTTTTGATTTTCAAATGCATACAGCCACCTTAAATATGGATCAATCCCTATATAGTCGAACCCTTGCTAATGGACACCTCCCATAGGTGGACATCCCCTGTAAGCAGAAATATACATGTACAAACACTGTATTTTTAACCTCCATAAGCCGACACCTCTCTTAAGTGAACACTTTTTATGGTTGTGAGGGTCTCCACTTGACTGTACAATTAGGTATTTGCTTGAATCACCTGATCAACTGTTTTGGTATCATACAGTAAGGTTGAATATGTGGAATGGACAAACATACTGCAAGATAAACATTAGTTAACTATTTTTAGACAAATTCTAATAGTGTATATTAAAATTTGCCACTTTTGTTAAAACTTAGAGATTCACTGACAAAACAAATGGCTTTGTCTTGTTAGTAAATTTCCAAGTTTCCCTTCCTTGGTTTTAATAGTCTCCAAGTTCCCCATTCATATAGGTTGGTATGTCTGTGGCTGGGTTAAGTGTGCTGCATTTTCTGCAGAACTTTAACATGTGCTTCACATTTTCATTTTATCATTATCTAGATATAGAAGGAAACATTCTTGGACAGAGTCTTTCACTAGTTGGATCTGGAATCCTTCTTATGATAATTTAACAGAAGGTATTAATTTGCCAGATTCTTCAATAAATTTTTTCTTTATTTCAATGAGATATTTTTGTGCTTGTTTTCTGTAAAAATGGACAACTTTCGATTCCATGATTTTTTTGTTATCTTAGTCGAACGACATGCTGAACTGTGCTATGCTGAGTGTTTGTTTATGAGGGCCTTGCTTACTTTTATTCAGGTAACTAAATTTTGCTCACATAATTATTTCTAATACACTTCTGGACATGACTTTTTGGGTCTTTTACATAATCCTGATGTGTATGTATTACATATCCAGTTTAAAACTTTCGACAGCCACTGGTGACAGAACGATTCAATCTTTACAATCTTTTCCAATTAGGTGTCGAAGCCTGCATTTTATGCACACTACCTCTGTTGACTTTGATTTTTATTTTTGTGTCCTCACTTCAGGATGAAAATCTGGTCAGTTTCATTCGAGGAGCTCTTAAAATCAGAAGTGCATACCAGACTTACAAGTAAGCAAGAACAACTCTTTTAGAGAGAAATTAGTTCTAGTACTAGCTATAGTCTGTTGCTTCCATTAGGAACCAGATAGTCCAGCAGTGCTGGTGCAGTGAGTCAGTATCTGCAACATGAAGCACGTCACCTAAATTCATACACAAGTATATGCATTGTATCTAGATCCTTTTACTCTTTTCTTTAGAGGATACCTCTTACAACAGTAAGTTGAACCTCCACCTTTTTAGTTCTGGCAGACACTTCCATACAACTGTACATCCACGCTTATTTTAACCTGTCTGCAACGGCCTCCTCTCCAGAATGGCAACAGTCACTAAGACTCGTTCCAACTGCCAAAATAACCTTTCGACAATGGCCAGTTGATCAAGGACTGACAAACGGTGTAGACAAAACTCCAAATTTTTATTGTATTAAAAAGTCCCCAAACTTGATCCATACTGCACCGTTGGTCTCTGTTTCTATTAAGTTTATTTTTTATTGATACATTTTAATTTATATGATTGTGCTAAAAATAAGCATTTCTGAAAAAAATTTGNACCTTTTTAGTCCTGGCAGACACTTCCATACAACTGTACATCCACACTTATTTTAACCTCTCTGCAACAGCCTCCTCTCCAGAATGGCAACAGTCACTAAGACTTGTTCCAACTGCCAAAATAACCTTTCGACAATGGCTAGTTAATCAAGGACTGACGAACGATGAACCCCCCAAAAATAAACAGGGGTCATATTACACATCTCTACCTCCCCATAATGTCTACCTCTCTACATTGACCACTCTCGTCTGTCCCCAAGGTGGCCATTCTGGAGAGGTTCAACTGTATAATTATTTAAAACACTTCTGATCCCTGTGTAAAT